TAGCAAAAGCGATCATTTTGATAATTATTTAGCAAAATCAACCTCTTTTTGGCCAATAAGTAAAAAAGAGATCGATTTTAAAAAACGCCCAGCTCAAAACATACGGGACTATTAGGCCCGTATGTTTTGGGTGAACTAATCAACGATTAGTGCTCACAGAAAACATACAAGACTAATAGTCTCATATGTTTTAGGAACTCATATGTTGTGCCCAGCAAACCCACGGGACAAATAAGTGTCCGACAAATAAGTAGTCTCGTGGGTTTGCTGGGCAGAACAAATAAGTACCCGACAAATCTATGGGACTAGGCGGGCACTTATTTGTTCTGCCCAGCAAACCCACGGGACTACTAGTCCCGTAGGTTTGCTGGGTGGGTTCGCTAGGTACAACATATGAGTGCCCAAAACATATGGGACTACTAGTCCCGTATATTTTCTATGAGCACTAATCGTTGATTAGTTCACCCAAAACATACGGGACTAGTAGTCCTATATGTTCTAAGCTGGGCGTTTTTTAAAATCGACCTCTTGTTGACCAAAAAAATGTCGATTTTGCTAAATAATTAGCAAAATAGTCGATTTTGCTAATTATTTAGCAAAATCGGTCTTTTTAAAAAAATTCTCATTCAAAAATTTCAAAACATGTTTTCCAAAAACAAGTAATGAAAAACCAAAATGCTAAAAATGTGTTCTGAAATTAAACATGCTTTGGTACCCAATTACTCTTGGTACCAAAGAGTTTAGGGACATGACCCCTATCATTTAAGTTCAAAACCCTAGGGTTATGATCCCTTTTGGGCGCATATAGTGCACTAATCCGGTCATAATAATAATTACTCAAATAACCCTTTCAATTGCAATATGTACAATGAAAAAGACCTATTTGTTTATGTGGACTATATGGATGTGAACGGGAAACATTTGCAAATAAAGATGGTCTTTTAAAATTTTGCAAATGAGAAAATCTTTTTTCAAATCAAAACAAAATTTGGTCAAATGACCAAAACGACCACAATAATCATATTTATACACATGAGCATGCTTATAATTTACAATGGGTGCATGTGCATGTGTGTGTGATGATGAAGAAACTTTATGGGATGCACAACAAGAACTAATATTAGATTTTGTAGGTTTTAGTGCATCATAGCAAAATTTAGCAAGATGGCCTTTATGACCGCAAATAGTACACTTATAAATTTTGTTATACATCTATGCATAGTGAGTGAGTGTTTTGGAAGAATTTTCTCGTGGCTTTGCACACAAGTCCATAAGCTTCTTATTATTGATAATGCATGTATTAAGAGTTAAATTTAAAAATAAAATACGATTTTTAACATTATTCAACTCATCATTAATTAGGCACATATGCATTGTCATTAGAAGTAGAACAAATACAATTATTCTTGAAATAATCAAATTCATTTCTAATAGTTTCTACTTCTAAAATGACATTATTATTTTCATGAGACAAACTAGCTATATATCCAATTTCAAATTATCATTATTAGCTTTAAGAACCTCATTTTCTTTAACAATAGTATCAAACTTGGATGCTAGCAACTCATGATCGGATTTTAGTTCAACATGCTTGCTTTTCAAATCAATAAAATTTTTATGCAACTTTGGTGTAGACATGCATTAATCTATCATATGTACATGCGAGTTCATTAATAGAAAGTTCACTTTCGGGATCCAAATCACATACTACACTAGGGATGTCGCCTAGTGGTCGAGTGCATGATGATGATGCTCCAATAGAACTTGAAGAGGAAGCCGCCAAAGCTCGTCGGATCGCCTCCAAGTTCCTTTGATGTACTTTCATGAATTTCCACAATGTGTAAGCGCTATCAAATGAATCAAGCTTGTTAGAAATTGATGAATCAAAAGCATTAAGCATAAATTCTAACACAATCTTGTTCATTGTAAACATCTTTTTATCATTTTTGCTCCACTTGGATTTTTTCAAGGTGGGCACAACATAAGCTTGATCAATGACTTTCCACAATTCAATATTTTTGGATCTAACAAATATTTTAAATCTAAAACACCATTGAGCATAGGAAAAAACATTGAATGAAGGAGCAATTTAATAGCATAACCTAAACTAGGTGCACCGTGCATATCCACGATATATATATATATATATATATATATATATATATATATATATATATATATATATATATATATATTACTATATATATATATACAATATATATATATCTATATTATATATATAGATATATAATATATGTAATATATATATTTATATATATATATATATATAATATAACAACATATATATATGGTATACTTATTATGTATTATATATATATATATAGTCTATATATTACTATATAGATATAATACTGTATATATATATATATATATATATATATATATATATATATATATATATATATATATATACATACATATATATATGATATATATATGTTATGTATAATATATATATATATATATATATATGTATATATAATATTATATATATACTACTATATATATATATATATATATATATTATGTGTGTGTGTGTGTGTGTGTGTGTGTGCGCGCGCGCGCGCGCGCGCGCGTGTGTGCAAGCAAGATACAAATAGAAACAAGATTAACAATATATGAAAAACTTGGATCTTTGACTCTAGGCGGTTAAGCCACAAATCAAGAGTACCAAGCTCTAATACCAAATGAAATTACCCTAGAGAGGGGGTGAATAAGGTATATGCTAATCTAATCTAATATAATACCAATTTAAAACTTATTAACAAACTATTCTTGCAAGTATGATATATGATATACAACTAATTCTGAGCAAGAATATGCAATATAAACAAAGGGTGATATAAACATAAACTAAAATGCAAATGAGATAGTGAGCAAATAAACAACACAAACACACAAAGATGATCACGGAGTTCGGTCCTTCCAACCTACGTCTCCGCTCCCCACTCCCGGGGAGAATCCACTATCACAACGGGTTTTCAACGTTCATCCAAAACGTTTACAACTTACACAATCTCGGTTTTCTAGCTCACCGAAAACTCTCACAATCATTCACAATGTAATCATACATTACAACCTCAAGTGTTGGTCTCTCACGTGTCGCCTCCCTCAAGCGCTCGGATTTACAACCTCTTTCTAGGCTTTACTACCGACGCCACTCCTCTTGGTATCGACCACATCTCTCACCACATACTCCTCTCGGTGTATTAGTATATTACAAAATGATCCTCACAAATATTCTCAAATACAAAGATTTTGTTCTCTAATAAGATGAGAACTCAATGAAGCTCACACTCAACGTATCACTCACCACAACCCAATAATATAGTGTATGAAAATACTAAAAGCTCAATAGGGATGTGTGTGAATAAATAGCAATAATCAAAACTAAACTCAATTGTAAATCTAGCTTAGTGAAAAGATAAATAATAAATATAAATATGTAAAGCTAGAATTGAGTTTAGTAAAACTTCTCTAAGATGACAAGAGTAAGAGATAATGAGAGATTGAAGCTCAAACACCAAAGATGATCTCTTCTTCCTCTTGTGAAAATCTCTTAACAAAAAAAACTTGTAAACACACTAAACAAACTTTAAAACCCCTTGTAAACCTGTTTAAAAATTTTCTTAGTAAGAGATAATAAAATGCTTCCAGTTTGACTTTATAAGAAAAACTTAACTTTGTTTATAGTAATAGAATATTATAAAAAAGGGGGTTTTGTCTTTTAACCCAAAGTTTTACCATCACTTATTTAAAAACTCACATACTTCCATAAATACCCGTATGCTCAAAGTGCCCCTTGTGACTTATTTATAAATTCAACCGGTAATGTACTCTCAAACTTTATATCGTATTTTTCAAAAAAATTCAAAAATCCAAAATTGCCTTTCTTCCCTGAATAGACCCATCGGTTCTCTTTTTTTCTCTCTTACTTTGTTTCACAAAACACTAAACTCAAAGAGCCGATCCCTAAATTCTAGGTGAAGTTAATCGCTAAATTCCACCAAAATTGACCAAACTATAACACTTTATATGAAAACATAGCTTCTTAGTAGCAAAGTATAACACATTCTAAAAAAGTATAGCTTTTTAAGACTAAAGTGTATATGTTTATCATTATAATAGCTCTTTATTGATTCTAGGACTACATAAAATAGAGGATAGCACATTGTTAAGAAAATTGATAGAAAAAACAGAAGATTCAATATTCATTAGACTAATTAACATAAAAATATAAAAGCTTAATAGTTATTAACTTTTGGCTGAGCAAAGTATAACATTTTATTTAAAAATATAACTTCTTATGAGAAAAATATAGCACCATGTGTAGAAGAATATCTCTGTACAACTGAAGTGTATCTGTTTATCGATATACTATAGCTCTTTGTTGGTTCTGGGACTATAGAAATAAAATATTTAATGATTGTTAATAGAAATTACATGAAAATCAATTAATGGTTTTCATGAAGAGAAATATTAATGGAGGAAAGAGATTTTTAAGGAAGAGACTGGATATTAACGAGTGAGAGAAATTTTGAAGAACATGAGTATGCTAAATTGAATTTTGGGAAGTAAAGGGAGCAGTTCGCAAAAATAAATTTCTCTCGCCATTGCCATTAATGCGATGGAGAGCATAATCAATGTTTAGAAGAAGAGAGGGAATGGCTATTTTGTTTGCTTTTTTTTCTTTTTTTTTTGAGATAGAATATAAAGTTTGAGGGTATACTATAGATTGGGTTTAAAAATAAATCATATATGATACTTTGGATATATATATGTTTATGAAAGTGGGTGGGTTTTTGAACAGGGGTAAAGCTTTGGGTTAAAAAGACGACCACCCCCTGGAAAAAAAGGGGTTCTACGAACGTAAAACACCGAAGGTTGGAAAGTAATTTGTTAAAGAGGGGGTTTGCAGCAATTTACCCATGAGTAACTAACTTCAGCGCGAAAGAAACGGAGCTGAGGCATCTCCAGGTCAATTTACCCGTTTATTCTATTCTCAGCCTTCTCCATTTTTTCCCCCCTCTTCCCATTTCCATTACCAAGATCTCCCTCTCCATTTTTCTTCTCTTTCTCAATTTTCCTCCTCAGGCTTAAGATTGCGAAAGAAGTTGAGAACATAAAATCCTCAAATAAAGAGAGGGAGAGCAAAGTCAAAAAATTTTGAGGGAAATGAAATGGCATTGGACCATTACAAAGTGCTGAATGTTGACAAGGGCGCCAGCGATGAGGATCTCAAGAAAGCTTACAGGAAACTGGCCATGAAATGGCATCCTGATAAGAATCCCAACAACAAGAAGGAGGCCGAGGCGAAGTTTAAAGAGATCTCTGAGGCCTATGATGTGAGAATAAACCATACATAAAGATCTTTTCTTGCTTTGCTTTTTTTTTTCTTTTTATTATTATTTCTGATCTCATGATATCAATATTTTTTATGCCCATAAGATTTGGTTGAATGAGTACGGGAACATAATGATTTATATTATTGTGAGGATGGATGTCTCGATTTGGTTGATCATTGAGACATTATGGAATCATTTCCATGAATTTGATATGGGTTGAATTATCATGGACTAATTTCAGATTTATCCTGTCGTGCTATTTTTCTTTTTAACTGTCAGATTATTCCCCCCATTTATTTCGCAGGTGTTGAGTGATCCCCAGAGAAGGAAAGTATATGATCAGTTTGGAGATGAGGGGCTGAGGAGCATGCCTACTCCCAGTTCGAACGGTGCCGGTGATTTCCATCCCAGTCATCGAAATGCTGAAGACATATTCGCTGAGTTCTTCGGGAGCAGTCCTTTCGAATTTGCCTCCATGGGACGGGCTAAATCTATGAGGTTCCAATCGGACGGAGGGGGTATGTTCGGTGGGTTTGGTGGAGGAGAAAGTGGGTTCCGTTCTTGCAATGGTGGTGGGAGGTCCGTTGGGGGAGGGCAGAGGAAAGCACCGGCAGTGGAGAGTAAGTTACCGTGCAGCCTTGAAGAGCTTTACACAGGATCAACGAGAAAGATGAAGATATCTAGAAATGTCCTCAAGTCAAGTGGGTAAGATTTTCCATCTCTATGTAACATATGGGTTATGTTCGAAAGAATTCAGCTCCGTGTTGGTTTCTGTCTTCATAGAGCATACGGTAGCAGCAGCAGCAGAAACAACAACACAAACAACCAAGACAAAGCCTTTACCCCTGATTTTTTATGCCGGCTATATGAATCCTCGTCTTTCATTCAATTTTGTTGAGGGATATCTCCTCCACTAAGTTTAAGCATTATCAATTTATCATAGCCTTCTTAATAGTTTCTGACCAAGTTCTCTTAGGCCTACCCGCAGTCCTTCTTTCTCCATAATTACAATCTTATTGTTCATCCTAATCAATGAGATGTTGATATTAGAAACACCTACATTTTTAGCTCGCTAGATAAGGCAACTTATTTAGTTGTGCCATTTTTCTCATCAATAAGTAAGGCATGATGTGGATGACTGCATCCACTTGATGTTCCTTGTACGTTGAACTCCATGTCTTCGGTCTTTTCTTGATGTTATATGGTTAGGAAAATAAGAGAAAGATGAGCAAAAGCATGATATGGCGAAAGGAAACCAATTGGTAGTTAAGTTTTCATTATGTAATTATTCACTAAGAACCGCCAAGGAGATTTTATACTACAATTTGAAATTTTCCAAGCTACAACCTTTGCAAGATAAATATGTGAAATAAGTAGTTCTTTAAAAAAAGATATGTGAAATAAGTAGTTCTTTAAAAAAAAGATATGTGAAATAAGTACTCTCTTTAGTTTGCAAATTATATAGTTATTTTGCTCTTTTCTCTATTGCTAAATCAAACTCTAAAATGTGTCGGTGTGTCACTTCTGTTTTCAACATCAACAACGGATTAAATCACTCCTTTGATGAACTTTAGTGTTGTTGGCAGAATAGTCCTATGATACTCAAAGAAGGCAGTTTGAGTTGGAGTGTTTACAAGATTGCCAAATTGACTGATGGAGACCAGTATTTCAGTAAAAGCTTTCTAGAGACCCCATTTTTCTAATGAGTCATCAGATTTCAAGTATTTAATTTGGACAATGGAAGACTTGAATTTAGCTAGGAATGTCAATACTTCAAGCTAGCACAGCTCGTCTTAGCTGAGCTCAAGTTTATATATTATTATAATTTTCTTCCATCCTATTAATTGGCATCATTATAAAAATATCACGAAACCCTATGCTGCTATCTGTAGACAAGGAAACCATGTTAAGCTGGGATCATCTATTTGCGTGAGCTACCAACAAAAACGCGTAACACTGTGGTACATTTCATAGCTCTCCACCTATCTCTCATGGCGGAGTGAGAGATGGGAATTGTTTGTTTCTCTCATGGTTGGAGTGCAAGCGAGTTAAGAGAGGTGACATAGTGCACACATTGGCGAAAGGTTACAGAACCAATCGCTCTCTCTTCTAATCCCGGTCATTTCTCCGTTCATAGTTGATTTTTCATGATGGTATCCTGTGGATTAGGCCAGACTTGGTTAGTTGAACCCAGTAGGTTTGGGAATTCTTTTTTGTGTATTTTATCTTGTATGCATGTGATTAGATCTCAGGTCTTTTAAGACCACAGGAACAATCTTCGCTAGAAGTTGCGCTTTCATAATGCGGTAAAAATTTATGAAGATTCCATGGAAATTTGATTCTCAAAATTTTGTGCTTCCATCATCTGGTGATGTTTAAGTTATAGAATTTGTACTTCATCATTCTATCCACCAGAATGTTAAGCAACCATTACTTAACATGAACCTTCTTGAATTTTAGTTTCTCTATTATATTTATTACGGAGATCTATTTCATTTTAACGAATAGAATTAGAATTTGTAGTGAATTGGGCAGGTAATAGGGTCCTCCATTTGCAAGGGACACTTTTGGGGTTCTGTGGGAAAAGTTAAAAGTCCTGAAGTTTTGTGGGATTATTCGAGACACTTTAGAATTTTGGGGATTTTGTGGGAGAAGTCATAGGAGTTTAGTACGAAATACAGAGTCCCGCGCAGGGGTTGTTGAAACTTAACCCTCTATACGAATGTCCAGATTGTGGAAGTTTATAATGGTATATGTTACTGGTTTTATAATTCTACTTTTTTGCCACTACAATGTGGTTCTTTGAAGTTGAACATCCTTGAAATTTTATGTAGTGGTTTAAATCTTTCACAGCATCTGGAAAATTTTACTAAGGATCATGTACTTGATTAAGTGCTTCTTTAATTTTTTTTTTTTTTACAGACGATTGGTACCAGAGTCGGAGATCCTAACAGTCGACGTGAAGCCAGGATGGAAAAAAGGAACTAAAATCACTTTCCCAGACAAAGGCAACGAGCAACAAGGACAACTTCCAGCAGACCTCATCTTTGTCATCGACGAGAAGCCTCATGGTCTCTACAAAAGAGACGGCAATGATCTCATCATTGAACAAAAAATTTCACTATCAGAAGCGCTCGCAGGGACCACATTGAACTTCAAGACTCTTGACGGTCGCAATCTTCCTATAACTGTTTCTGATGTAGTGAGTCCTGGGTATGAGCTTGTGATTGCTAACGAAGGGATGCCTATTGTGAAAGAGCCAAGGAGAAAGGGAAACTTGAAGATTAAGTTTGACGTTAAGTTCCCTTCAAGGTTGACACCGGAGCAACGGGTAGCTATCAAGAGGATCTTGGGAAGTTAAAAAGAAGAGAATGTTGATTGTTGTAAATCTTATATACTTTGCATTATGATGTTCTCGACTCTGTATGTTTATACATTGTATAATGTAACGGTTTTCAACAGGGAATTGTAAACATGAACGTATTTCAATCTGTTTTCATGTTAGAGAGTTAATAATCAGTTTTCTGTGGGAAAACATCTGTATCTAAATAGAATTTGTCATATAATCTGTAGATCCGGAATCCACGCAATCTTAGCCTCGCAATACGAGGTTATACGTCCCTTTTTTCCCCTGTGATTTATGATGAACATCCAAAGACTGAAATCACAAAAAAAAAAAGAACATGATTAAAAAAAATCCAGTAGGTAGTCTACCAAAATTTTCCTTCAAGAGGGAAACTACGAATTCTCGCCATCAAATTTCTTACCCGCCCGCCACGGCTTCCTCGTCTCTGTTATATACATGGAAGCAGATGGCCTCCATAGTATTGCAATAAAAATTTAATAAAAATGTTTCTCTTTAATATGGATACCACCAGGAGCATGTATCTAACCATAGAATTTTTCATCGAGCTAATGGGAACCCATAGATTTTTACACATCATTAGCGAGTGTATATCAAATTGCATTACTAAAAGCTATGATGATTATAAAAAAAAATTACATTGTTATATTTCGGTATGCTCGAAGGTTTCATAGTCCGAGAAGGCATTTCAGACTTCGTTTCTCTACATATGTAAACCTTAACGGTCTGAGAATTTCCCTATTTACTCAATTCTGCTGGCGATAATTCCCAGAGCAGAAGCAACAGCAACAATATTGATGGATTTCCCTTATTATTGTTGCGGAAGACCAATTGTCTCAGCTATATGGTCAACAAGTTCCCTTTGATTTAATTAGTATTTAATTACATACTCAACTATTAAAATATACGTATGAACGTATAATTAAGTGATAAATACAGTGGCCAACTATCCAATTAATATTTAATTATATGACCAGTTATCCAAGCAATTATAATATTAATATGAACGTCCAAATAAGTGATAAATATAATGACCAACAATCCACTTAACCCAAATTACACAGCTCTAAGCTTTTTTGTATTTCGTACTGATAAAACCGACAAATGTTCGCCAAAAACTGAAAAAGAAGCGTAATCTAAAGAAAATTCCCCTGAAGTTTGCATGATTAACAAAGCTAATACCACAGTTATATGCACTCACACATAAACTTGTATATGATTATTACATTGAATATCACTTTAACGGCCATAGCACCAAAAAGAAAAATCAATTTAACCTGAGGTGGTAGTTTATCAATCACGCAAATAGTTTACACCCGTAAAAGACCTCTAGTTAGTGTAGTCTGCCCTAGACCAACAAGATTTTTTTTTTTTGGGTGAATACCACCATATATTTACCTAAATGGCTAAATCTACTCCGCTTAACAAGCTTTTAAATGCTTTCGTAAAAGATAAAATGCACATATATCCACTAATCAATCAGTTGTGAACTGGATAGGATCAGCAATACCAGCTATCTGCTATCATTTGATAACTTGACTCATACACATCCACTCCTATATGGCATCAAACTTCTTTCCTCCCTGGGTTGTTGGTCATAGGTCTATTAAGTTTGAAACTGAAGAGATACCATAATCAGTTACTGGGCAAAAATTAGCACCCAAATAACTACACTTTACATCAAGAAACAAGATCATGAACAGTAGCGTTCCATGTCAACACCGAGCTACTTGAGCCACAAGATCTGCATATTCTTCAGAAACATACGATTCAACCTTAAAAGTATCTTTCCCTGGAGACGCATACTTTATGCCAATGACAGTTGACAGACCTGAATCAGAAAATTTTGAAAAATAATCAACATCGCTCTTAAGTGAAATGTTAAAAGATGATAAAAGGAAATCTAATAGATTTGAGGAACTGAAAGCAATTAAGATGAAGAATGAAATGCATCAGATGGCCTGGTTACAAGATCCAACAGCCAAAAGAAGAATATAGTTCAACAATATTTTTATTAGTTTTGGAGAACTTCATAGCAAGATTGGTGAACAGTTTGCAGTACGTTAGCCTCCATATCTTCTGATAAGAACTACAGAATGAATAGCTGATAGAAACGGTTTTCTCTAACCCGTATGACATTGCATTTGTTCCTAAATAATAACAATGATTTGTGTTATTCCTGTGTTAAATAATAAAATATTGTAGATTCTCATTCATATCTCAAAAGCTACAACTACTTCCCTTTATATAGGAATACAATAGCAATAAGTTCATTATGTAGTCAATCTGGAACAAAACACAATCACATAATCAAAATTATTCTCTTAGTTACATTAGTAATGTAGTAGCCTATGTAATTAGTGCCTTAAATTTTGATTAATGGAGAAATTTTTTTAATTACAGATTAGAGAAACTAATTAGGGTTTTTTTGGAATCCCCCAGCTCTTGTTAACTGCCACGTTAGTGTTTAATGGCTACACGCCATTTGATGCTTGGGGCGTCACCTCCTCAACGGAGGGATAAAACAGAGAAGGAAAAAAAATCAAAGAAAGCCCCGCGGAAAAAAAAACGGAGGATATCCTCTCATCCTCAATCAAACCCTCTGGAAGCTAGATAAAGATTGTGAAGGAAAAAAAAAGATCACGGCAACAAATTAGTATCCCAATGTATAATCCACTTTCAAATTTCGTAGTAAATTAGTAATTTAAATCAAAATAGAATAAGTAAGGAGGATAACTTGTTATGATAATGAAGTTAAAAAAATCTAAGGTTTGCAAACGAAATTTTTTTTATGTGTTTACGATGCATGAAATGGACTGGAAAAAAAAAGAGAACTTACCTGACCGACAGCGGGGGTTCGTCGACGACCCCTACTCGCCGGAAGGGGGCGCAGTGGCCCGCCTCCGGGTGGTGGCAGTGGCGGAGCTTGAGCAGCCGCGCCAACTTGGCACCGCAGAGGAGAGAGAGGGAGAAATAAAGAGGAGATAAACGGGAAAAAAAGAAAAAAAAAAAGGAGAGAACGGAACAAGAAGAATGAAGAGTCTGGTAGCAGGAGAATAAAGATAAGGGGAGAAGGAAAATTTTATTTTCACCCTTGGTTTACAAAAACAATTTATAATAAGCCCACATATGTCATTGAATACAAATTTTGACTAGGAAAAATTCCCTATAACCCATGCCTTATCATTAATTATTAGGAAGTCCAAAAGCTAGTATATGAGAGTTATAAAATTTTAATAAATTGTTGAAGTTAGCAATAAGCTCATTTGTACCCTAGATTTTAATTTTTATTGATTATATTTGAAATTAGTTGACTCTAGACAATGAATTATTTACCTATAATATATGTTTGTCATGAATTAATAATTACTCTTATATCTTATATTATAGGATTTGGATGATATCCAGGGGAAATAATATTTTGGAGAAAGTCGTGTCCACTAGAGGTGAGTTCATTTTTCACTAGTATTTTATAATATAAAATTATATGAATATTATATTTGATTTATCTTGAAATCGAAAAATAAATAATATATCATTTTTATGTATATAAAATTAAAAGGTGATTTGATCTACTTCTGTTGTGACCTAAGCCATAAATACGATGTTGATTTCGTACAAGATATGAACAATCCATTTGATTTTATATGAATATGAACTAATAAAAAGTGAATTTGGTTCTTATGCGATTTAAAATAATTGTGGGAATTGCTTTATTTGAAAGCTTTTGAAGAAAATAAATATTTTGAACGTGTTTCGACAGTTTAATGGATTCAAAGATTTTCTGTGACTCGGTATCTAATAAAAAAAATAAAGAAAAGTAAAATTTGTAAACTGTTTTAACTGAATGAGGAGTTTACCCTTGTCCACTTCATTTGAAAATATCTGTAAATTCTAATATGCAAGGTATTACTCATTTGATAAGTGATCCTCGATATTTTCAAACCCTCAAAAAAGTCCACTATGGAGTGATTTTGCCTGCAATATGGTGAATGCATATTTATTTGGCCCCTCTGTATTGACCCTTCTGTATTGGCCTTTCTGAAATTTATTTTCGTCCCTCTGTATTTGGCCAGTAACCTATGGCAGTGTTAGGTGCATTCGATTCTCAAAAATTATCCGTTATGTGATACGTTTTACGTATTCTCATACTACTGGGCTATAATTTGTAGCCTTAGTGTGACCTATGAGATGACTTTTGCATTCATGAATAACTCATCGAGAATTAAGATTCTGACAATTGACTGTAAAATTAAGAAAATAATAATCCTCTGGTTTTGTACAAATTAGTAGTTCTTTTCTTTCTTAATGTTTACCTTGATTCAAAAAGGGTTTGATTCTAGGAAATATCACAATATATTCAGTTGCACATAAGAAAGAAAATATAATTGTTGTGTTCTTTCTTGAAGACGACATATTATGATATTTGGATCGTATTTTGCTATATTTTTAAATTTCTGATGCAAAATTTATAATTCGTTATTTCTGGGAATTATCCTTATTATTTTGTTAGTTATCTAGGAACTCTAGTGAGAAATGTTCTCACTAAGCTCTAGCTCCCCCCATCGTTTTTATTTTTTTTCAGATTCGGTGTAGGCGTAGCTTCATACTATCCAAACTTTTGGTTGTAGCGCTTTGCTGAGAGACGTTATATGAAAAGTCTCCTTTTTGAATGTTATATACAGTCAAGAATGTGTTTTATTTTGTAAAATGCTTATGACGGTGAGGTTGTGGGTTGTAAGTACTGATTATATACATATATATAGTTGCTTTGGACTTCTATCATCAGCAGGTTTATGAATATTTTGAGATAAACTATGTGATATGAAGTGTCAGGCTTGACTCGTGCAAAAGACTTGTCTCGTGCACGGGTCTCTGCTGTCGCGTAACCCGTATTTATGAATTTTTCGCTGCAGGTTCAGAGCATGACACCTAATATCTCTTAGTTACCAAATATTTAATTTATACTCCTAATATATTATTCGTAATATAACTATAACATTATAGATCTCCATAATATCTTCCTTAACACTTTCCCCTTAAGCCAGCATGTATATCATAGTTGTTTCATCTTCTAGTCTTATTTGTGACAAACAAAATGTATAATTCGTTATACATTCATATCTTGTACGAAATCAACATCGTATTTATGGCTTAGGCCACAACAGGAGTAGATCAAATCACTTTTTAACTTTATATACATGAAAATGATATATTATTTATTTACAAACAAAATGTACTCACTCCAATTTGTGACACGACTTAAAAGACTGAAATCTTCTGTATGACCTTTCTGACCATAGTTGTCATCTTCTAGGCTTCTACTTGAATGTCTTTCACCACGAACAGCCTAAACCAAAATCACTAAATGCGACACCCCGTTCTTCTTCACAGACCTACTTCTGATGTGAAATATTTTGTTGCCAGCTCATTTCATGTCAGCCTTCATCTAATAACCTAAGCAAAATTCTGGTTACAATGAGTCCAGTAGGTCACCGTAGCTTTCTACTACATGCTACAATGTAACGTCTTAGCTAGTGTTATAGGAATGTAGGGTTTCTTCTTAACTGAAACCCAAAATCTTACCCCATTTATTTTTTAACCCACCCTCTTATAGAAGTGATTTTACCTACATAAACAAAATGTTTCTCCCTTCTATTTTAAAACTCATCCACTCCCAAAGGGGTTTTTACTTATAAATCCAAAGTTTTTCATCATTAATTTTTAAATACACCCATAAATCACTCCTAAATCCAGTAATCCACCTAATTTTTTATCCCCGTTATTAAACTCGCTCACTTCCTAAAACATTTTATTGCAAATAATCTTGAAGTTGTACACCAATTTATTGTGCCAATACACTTTCAGGGACACTTTTAGAATTAAAAAGCTCAACTGAATTAATTCTAAACCATTAGTTTTTTATACTATGTAATTTGCTATATTTTTTTATCTTGCATTATTTTTTATGTACCTTTTTTTCATTTTTGTTCGAACTAGTAGTATAGTGTATTGTTAAACGAAATGGTTAAAACTTTTTTTCTTTTTTCTGCTAATGCCACTACATGGCAAATGGAAGAAGAGGTTTTTTATTTGGGCCGAGGAGGGGGGTTGGTTTGCTTTATAAGACAAGTTTTATGCCCATTCCTTTCCAATCAACACATTTTGAGAAGAGTTTTTTTTTTCAAAGAACCTAAAGTTTGAACGCCTTTAGTTTTAAACCCACTCACTTCCAAAATAACTCTTAGACTCAATGTTCCATCAAATTAATTTCTAATATACTTTATAATCCAGTGGTTTGATATATAGTATAAGTTGCTATATTTTACTGTAGTTTGCTATTTTTTTGTTCTAAGTGGTTAGATGTGCGTTGTATTTTTAAATCAAATGCTTAAAGAGTTGCTATTATTTTTATTTCTTATCTTGCTTTATGCCGCAACATCATGAACAATAGATTGGGAGTTTGCTTATAAACCCAAAGTTTTACCCTCTATTAATTTTTAACCCATCCACTTGCAAGACAACTCTTAGACCAAAAATATTATATCAAATTAATTTAAAGCCACTTTGCCAACTTGCAAATGCAAGACAACTCTTAGACCAAAAATAATGGCGAAAGCTATTATATTTTGCTCTAACTTGCAATATTTTTTTTCTACGCGGTTAGTTAGTATATTATGAACCAATAAATCATTATTTTATTTAGTTTTTTTACACTAACACCGTGCGGATCAAATTTGCTTCTTACTAAATTTTTTGGAGTTACTGTAGGAGCTGCTACACTAAATACCTACGATGGTAATTATGGTACTCCCAAAAAATTTTACTAGA